CCAGACTCTCACACCTTCAGCATCTTAAAGTTTTTGTCACTCACTCCCCGGAGATCCAGACCCCGGGGTGCTGGCGGGGGAGTGCTGGGAGTTGAAGTCCACATCTTAAAGTTGCCAAGGTTGAGAAACACTGTTCTAAACCTAGAACTAACCCACATTTTAGAAATGGTTTTGGTAAAGATTCAACTTATTCTGAGTAGTATCCGAGCTGATCAAGGAAACCTGGCTTATAGCATCTGTATCTTCCTGTACAGTGTTTAAATGTCAAAAAAAGTTATTAATTGCTCAAAACTTGTACTTTTTGCTTAATTGCTCAAATCAGTGTACTTTTTGAAATGTAAATATTTGTCATGAGTATGAGAAAGCTACTCTCAGATAACAGGGAGATTTTTGTTGAGTTCACACCAGAAAGAGTCTCTTTGTCTGTCAGCAACCTTTATTTACATTTTCACAAGTTTTACATAGCATGTAGTTTGACCCTAAGAGAGCTTTTTGCTGTCATTAGTTAAACTGCTCACACATTATTACTGCTACTGAACTTGTATATTTTTTCTTATATTTCATACAAAATAATTAATAACAAAATAAAATAATAACAAAAAGTAAAAGCAGCAGTAAAAAGTTGAGCCTCATATTAGCATTAAAGATTATTAATAATTAAAAGACCTGGAAGAATAAAAATGACCATGTCTGGTGCTGATGGTACCAAATGTATCATGCTGAGGAGGGTGTTCTGAAGTCAGGAGAACAGCCACTGAAAAAGGCTTTTATATTCCTTTATTCCCTCAACAGCCTGCTTTGTCCCCCCTGGCCTAATCTATCTAAAAATAACTTCTGACATAGGGATGATAGAAATGGGAGGAATAACAAAAATGTGGAAAATGCCTTCTGAAAAAATGACTTGCATAGCATTATTTTAGGATTTGGTTCATTCTTATTGAGCTAGACATCTGTTATTCAGAAGTGTTTAACTGTTTGAAATGCTAACACACTTTCTATAAATATTGAGCTGGAAGAAATCTATTTTATACATGAAAACAATCTTATACATTCCTCTTTATAAAAACTGTAAGATATCAGCTATGTCCTGCATTATCACTGATACATGTGGCAAAATATACTGAGAAAGTAACTACTCTAAAAAGCTGTTCTGTGTTTTATAACTGAATTTATGCAGTGATTAATTGCTCTATGTACTTATTTGTTTGCTCTAGGTTTAAAGCAAGTATTGAAACTTTGGCCCTCACTTTTTTTGCATGTGTGGAAAGATGACTGCTTGTTGAAATGGATGAATTTAGATTCCAAAGAAGTGAAAAATGACCGAAGAATAGCATCTTTAGACCATTTGCCACTGAATTAAATGATCACAACTGGGATCTCATGCACCCCTCATATTTTCTGGAGGACCTTCTCCAGAAGAGAGTTTTACATTTAAAAGGCCGAGATGAGTATATTTTCTTTTGGAGCTTACTAAGACTAAATACATTTTCCAATAATGACCAGCTTGAAACGGTCCCAGACTGAAAGGGCTGTTGCCACCGGAATATCAGATGTTACCCCTAAAGTCCATTCAGATGACTTTTATATGAGACGCTTTAGGTCACAGAATGGTAGCTTGGGATCTTCAGTGATGGCTCCAGTAGGCCCTCCACGCAATGAAGGATCACATCATCTTACTTCTACACCTGGAGTTCCTAAAATGGGGGTTAGAGCAAGGATTGCAGACTGGCCTCCAAGGAAGGAGAATGTCAAAGAAAACAGTAGATCAAGTCAAGAAATGGATACATCAAACTGTCTGGATAGTATGTCTTCAAAAAGTAGTCCAGGAAGTCAGGGAAGTTCTATTAACTTGAACAGTAGTGATTCTGTCATGTTAAAGAGTATCCAAAACACACTTAAAAACAAAACAAGACAATCTGAGAACTTAGATTCTAGATTTCTTACACCTGATGGTTACCACAGCTCTCCAAGAAAAGCTCTTCGTAGAATAAGACAGCGTAGTAATAGTGACATCACCCTAAGTGAGCTTGATGTAGATAGCTTTGATGAATGCATCTCACCCAGTTATAAATCAGGACCATCACTGCACAGAGAATATGGCAGCACCTCATCAATAGATAAGCAGGGTACCTCAGGCGAAAGTTTTTTTGACTTGTTAAAAGGTTATAAAGATGAAAAGTCTGATCAAAGAGGCCCAGTCACCAGCAAATTTAGCGAACTCCTTATAGCTAGTGGAAGTAAAGGTTCTGGATTTTCTTTGGATGTGATAGATGGACCCATTACTCAGAGGGAAAACCTTCGATTATTTAAAGAAAGGGAGAAACCACTGAAGAGGCGTTCAAAATCAGAGACGGGGGATTCTTCGATTTTTCGCAAGCTGCGTAATGCCAAAGGTGAAGGAGATCTTGGAAAGACTTCAGATCTAGAAGACAGCAGATCAGAGGATAGTGTCAAGCCTTGGACTTGCCCCAAATGTTTTGCCCATTATGATGTTCAGAGTATATTATTTGATTTAAATGAAGTGGCAGTTAACCGGCACAATGTTATAAAAAGAAGGAATACAACTACTGGAGCTTCTGCTGCTGCAGTTGCATCATTAGCTTCTGGACCATTATCCCATTCTGCAAGTTTTAATTCCCCTATGGGTAGTACAGAAGAACTGAATTCCAAAGGAACTTTAAATGTGGACCAGGGAGATGATAAAAGCAATGATCTTGTATTGAGTTGTCCGTATTTTCGTAATGAGATTGGTGGGGAAGGAGAAAGAAATATCAGTCTCACCAAATCTAACTCTGGATCCTTTAGTGGCTGTGAAAGTGCCTCTTTTGAGTCTACTCTTAGCTCTCATTGCACAAATGCGGGAGTGGCAGTACTTGAAGTACCCAAGGAAAATCTGGTATTACACTTGGACAGAGCTAAGAGATACATTGTTGAACATGTGGATCTCGGTGCATATTACTATCGGAAATTCTTCTATCAGAAAGGTGAGCAGTTATTAACTACTTCAGAAATGTTGCTATATACTCAACATTCACCTAAGAATTGCCTTGATGCACAGTGTTTATTTATATACTGGGGCCTGCGCAAATCTTCTGTGGGACGTTTTGCTTTGGTAAAGGCTTGAGAGAAGCACCCCGGCCTGCTCATTTCTAAAAGAAAAGAAAAGCAGTTAAACTGCTTTACTTCACAAGCTTCACCAGCATTTTCAAGCCCCTCCAGACTTTTGCAATTGCCCTTTGAGGCACATACAAAATAGCTCATTAAGTTAAATCATGCCACCTCTTTCCCTCTACAAGGTGAATTGTGTACCCTTTCCAGTGTGAAGTTCTTTATCAAAGTAAATCACCACACAAACCTATCATATGCTACTTGTAATTTATATACACACATATGACAAATTTTGCAATTTGTTTTTTAATACTCTGCAAGAATTGTCTTGAAATATATTTAAGGCAGAGCTAGAAAGAGGTGACTTTCCTCATAGGCTTGCATTCTTCCTCATCTTTCCTTCTCTTTTCCAGAAGCTTTCACTTCTGTTGTGAAGTTACTATGTGGCTTGAACTGGGAACTGTACTTAACTTTAACTATGGTTAATTTAATTTGAGGGTAGCCTCAAAAACAACTCTTTAAAGATGATGTATTTGAAAGTGGCTTGTTAATAATGACCACAACCTCTTGATCTTGATTTAAATAGAAGCAGAAGCCTTTCAGTTCCTGAATCACATGGGAAGTGAAGGAGAGATTTTACTTATTTGTCAAATTTATATGTCCGCCCATCTCATAAACAAGTGACTCTGGGTAGTGTACAACAAAGCTAAAAAACAATATATACAAAACAATTGTTGTTGTTATTATTATTATTATTATTATTATTATTATTAAAAACTTAAAATTATAAAAAGCATGCACAACTTTAAGAAGAACATAGGCTTGCATCATTTAATGTGACAAGCAAATGTAGACATAATTCACAGTAATACACACTTTTAAGGACTGCAAATACCTATACATTTAAATGTGTGAAATAGACTTCTATTTTTTCTTTTTAAAAAAACCAACAACTGTACATACATTGCTCTTATTGTCTATAAAAAGAGTATCATCAACATAATTCTCTATCTTTGATAGAAAGTCTTCTTTGAGTTTAGTTCAAAGTCCTGGTGACTTTATAGACAAGTTCATTTAGTTTTCTTAGTACGGGAACTCTTTGCTGCTACTTGCTTCTGAGATTTTTTTTGCATTGTTCCATTCTGATCTGTAGTCTAGTATTTCTTGGTTATTACCCATCCAACTATTAACCAGGTCTGACCAGTTTAGTTTTTCAAGTCAACATAGAGTTGGAACTTAATGAAATTCCATCTGAAAACGTTTTTATTTATTTTGGCAGTTGACAAATCATGATAGTTCATTGCCTCTGGTTTGTATGTTTTATTATATGTTTTATTATATGTTTTATTTTATGTGTTTTATATTTTATTGCACTTTAAATTATGTATACCTGGGAATGTTTGGCATGCTATATGGTTATGACACATAAAAAGAAAGAATAACAGGAAAGAAAGTTTAAGATTAGAGTACTTTTGAATGACCATACTTGAAAAATCAATTCAGGTAGTCCCTGGGTTAAGAACACCCGGTTTAAGGATGGCCCATAGTTAAGAATGGAGCCTATTGTAGCAAAATTCGAATTAAACACACAAAGATTCGAGTTAAATACAGAATGGTTCAAGTTAATTACACAATATTACTTATACAGTATTATACAATACTGTAGAATATACAGTAATATTATTCCAGCTTACATACAAATTCGACTTAAGGACAGACCTTGGGAATGGAGCTCATTCTTAAACTGGTGACTACCTGTATATGATTACATACAATGGAGTTTTTACAGTGGAACATGTAGCTAGATGATCATAATTATAGATATTTCTGTGTTTGATATGATTGGAGTACGAATCACCAAAACCTCTAGATGGTGCTCAGGTGTAACTCTGATTGCCTGATCCACATGTTACATTTGTCTTATGTTTTTGTACCCACACTTGGTTGGAACCTGCTTGTGTTTGAAACAAAATTATTCTATCTCAACCAGTCCTAAAATCTAGATGTATTATGACAACATTGATATGGATGATTCCTTTATGAAGTATAATTATTCCTTCTTTTGTCCACCTCCATCCCCCAAATACATGTTTGATTTTAATTGCATAAGAACACTGGAACTACTTTGGGGCAGATGAAAACCTTGGTCCTGTAGCTGTCAGCATCAGAAGAGAAAAACCTGAAGAAATAAAAGAAAATGGTTCCCAGTACAGCTACCGCATTATTTTCAGGACTAGTGAGGTAAGCAATGCATAGGCAGTAAAGAAATAAGAAATTTTATTTTCAGTGTTGAACTTGTTACAAAGTCATATGACCTAAACATTGGAAGGATAATAGCTTTCAGTAAATTAATATTATGCAAAGCTTGTAATCTCTGGATCATAAACATTTTATAAAACTTAGAGAAGATTTATTAAAGTGAGATCTTCCTGTACAAAGTATTCTCTCAATTTATATAGCATTCAAACTAAATATCCCAAGATTCTTGTCAACCAACCAGGATTGCTCTTATGCATGGTTATTTTATATTTCAAGAAGTAAGAATCAGAAATAAGCTAATTAAAAACCCACATAATTGTTTTTATAACAACACTGGGCAGAAATCTCACACAAATGACATGCAGTCTAAAATTTAATGGCAGTCTTTGGTGAGGTTCTTAGAGTTGGGGGGAGGGGTGTCATTTTAAACTACGGATGTTATGCTATGGTTATAGCTATGGATATATACACTGGAAAGATAAGGCAAGCTTTTATGTAATGCAAGTTTTTGTTTTTGCTTGTATGGAAAAGTTAACTATTTATATTTATCAGCTCTAAACATACATTTCCTTAGACTATGTAAGGAATTGCTATCACATTGTACAATATGAGCAAATATCAAGTAGTATGAGCAATGCCCAGCCCCTAAGAAAGGTTTCTTAACACTTTAGGACACAAACCTGAAGCTTTATGATAATGTTATTTTCTTAATTGTTATTATTATTTTCTGTCTTTCCTTTATGCAAATATAAGAAGATAGACTATTATTACAGCTTTATATATGTTCTGTATTAAAGACAATGCTATTTGATGGCAAGAATGCTTAAGTCTTGATTGTGAAGAATACAGCTTTAGCTTTTCTGAGATGAAAGTAGAAAAGTTTGTTAGAACTAGCAGAGGTATGCAAAGGCACAAATCCATACTTAAAACATCCTTTAATTGATCATAAAAAGGGTATTGATATTTAAAAAGGGCAACAAAATGGTCAGACTGAGGGATGGTGCATAATGACTAGACAGGTAATAATCTATGCAACTATTAGGTAAAACTTGTTTTGCTTTAGTAATTTTTGCTGGCTTCCACAACTTTTAACAAAGTCATTCCAATAAAAGAAATAATGTATTGAATGGTTTTCACTATCACTTATTTCAAAAATATTATCTATTTCATACAGAAACTACACTTAATGCATTGTTGGCTTTCTTTGCTACTACAGTCATAATTCTTTGAACATTACTGAGAACATGCTGAAAGTGGCTCTTTCCTGTGTTTGTGGAGAGCATAGGAAGGGAAAAAATCCAGAAAGGAGAGACATATTTTCTTTCTGTAGTATATTTCATATTGAAGTTGCACATAGTTTTCTTCATATATTAGCCCTACACAGAAAAAAGCAAACGTGCATCTCAATTAGTAATACGTTTTGTATTGTCCTGTCTCATTTAAACTGATACTATGTGGATTAGAAAATATTATTGTTGCATATATCCTGTGTATTACTAGCACATTTGCTTCACTGTATATCTCGGTAACACAATCTTTGATTTCTAGCTTACAACATTAAGAGGTACTGTCTTGGAAGATGCAATACCTTCAACTGCAAAGCATTGCACAGCCAGAGGGTTGCCCTTGAAAGAAGTCCTAGAACATGTGGTTCCCGAACTAAATATACATTGCCTCAGGTTGGCTTTCAACACACCTAAAGTCACAGAGCAGCTTATGAAACTTGATGAACAAGGGGTAAGATTTAAATTACATTTTTTTGGTCTTTAGTTGGTTAGTCTTATAATAATAAATCTGTTGGTACATTTTGTTCATCTTAGAAATGTTCTAAGATACATGCCATTTTAAAGAGATAACTATTTTAATTATATTATCAATTACCAATTATTTTCTTCATATACTGCCACAAGATACTGCATAAGAAACTGATACAAAATTATGCCTTTCTACCTATGACATTTTAGATACTGTCACAATATATTCTAACAATGAACTTCGTTAGGTTCTTAGTACTGTTTGTAAAACATTAATGGAAAGTTGTAATTCTGTCATCTTATATTAATCAAAGCTTTGCAGTTAACGGCATTCAGTTCAGGTATTTTGGGATCAATTTGGATATTTGGGGATAAAGCTAATGACGTAGATGTATTCTGTACCTGTTTTCTGCCTTTGTGCTAGTTGAATAACCCCTTCCAGGAGATGAACAGGAACAATGTTATCCTTTTGATTAGCTTATTGTTCTCAGCAGCTTTTATTTCAATCAATTTTGGATTCTTTCTGAGCTGCCTCAAAGGTTAGAGCTGCATAATTATTCCAGTATCTCTTCCTTTTCAAAAGGGTGTTCTCAGAAAACAGTGCTAGTGTACTACTTTGGCTTATGGAATATTACAGGTTTCCATTTTATTTCTTATGCTAACTTTGGAAATAGGAGAGACCATCCACATATTTGGACTGAAGAATCACTAGTAGGAAAAATACACTCAACTCATTCTCAGTATCTGATCATCAGTTTAAGGGTAGATGGAAATGAACAAGTTGAAACTTGTCCAAGATGGGATGCAGGTGCTGTAATTCAGAACCTAAGGCAATTTGGGAGATGTTAATATAGTCTTAGAAGTGCTCCTTGAAAAAACCAGTTATGCTGAGAATGCTTCTTTTTCTAGCATAGATATGTAGAAAAAAATCAGAGAATTTTCTCTCATTTTTTAGGCCTTTTGTTTGAAAAGAAATTAAAAGGATGCTTAATTATTTTCCTTTCTTTTTAACAATATATGACATCTTTAACTGTTATATTTTTTTCTAGAATTGTAGTAACTTATGGTGTAACCAAAATGGACCTGTAGAGGACAAGAGCCCTCACATTTCTTATACCAGCTCAAAAGCACCCATAGTCAATTTTTTCAGTTAAGACTGGCGTTTGAGATTTGATTTTTGCCATAGCCCTTAAGACTTCAAACATGTACATGCCTGTGGAGGCACTTCCTTGATAGTGATACTATTAAGTACAGGTATTACAAAATGATATTTCTTGGCAGTCATTGGTTGTCATTTCCTCTAGAGTTTAGATAAAAAAAGGGTTATGTTTGAATGTAGATTTTTTGTTCTTCTGTTTAGAATTTGCTTTTACCTACTGCTTTCAAACTGCTGATAATTTAGCACTATTTGCCTTTCATACTTTAACTGTTTTTAATCCTGTAGTGTTGAAATATGCCTGTGAACAAAAATTCAGGGAAAAAAATTAAGTATACTTTTACAGAATATCTGTAAAGGCTTTTTAGTTTCTAGAGTAAAATATGTATATAATTGTAGAGCTTATGTATATAATTGTTTGAAATAAAATTGCTTATTTCAGATATCCTAACAATAGAGTTTTCAAAACAGGCCCCAATAAACTTTTTTTTTCAGATGCTGAAGGAAAATGTTACGTATCTTTTGCTTTGCTTTGATTGTATAAAAAAACATTCTGACACTTAAAAAAAAAACTACAACATCTACATTCCTCTTCATTCCTGACAGGACTTGGCAGTTTTTCAGATTCAAGGAACTGTATTTGTCATAACATTAATTTTACAGCATAACATTTTACAGAAATGACTGTTGTCTTAGATGCTACAAGAATATCAAAAGATAATGTTCTGGAGATGCTCTCTTTCAAACAGTCCTACAGGTTACAGTGCAGGTCATAGGATTGTCTGAAAACACTTTTGTTTGAATGTTGCTTTAATAGGCAGAAATTTTTAAGTGATTAAAAATATTTTAATTTGATTTTTTAAAAATATATCATTTATGAAATAATATAGTACAGCTGTAATATAAACAGTACAGGAGGTTGTAATAGGCAATTTAAGAGTTGACAATATGTTTTAGGATAGTGAAAGTAGTTACTGTAATTCTATTATTTAAGTCCTTATCCCAACTATCATTCTGCAATGGTTTTGCACACACTAAAATTGTCCAATGTTTCATAGAGGTATTCTGTTAGATGAATGGAGTTGCTTTATGGGTTATAGTGGTTCAGAGATTTCGGAACATCCTTGTCAACTCCCCATTCAGCCATATACTTCACTCGATCATTTTGGTAAGATATTTTCTCTTAGAGAGTCTCCACATGTGGCATTCAAACTAGTTCAGAATCAGCACTGTGTCCTTATGCTCTCACATCATTGAGGCATTTCAGCAACTGAGCCGATTAATGCAGCACAGGAGGAAATTCTATGGAGATAGTTTTGTGGCACGAGCACCAGAACTCTGAGATGAGAAATTTCACTCATGTTTTGCTCTTGCTCCTCAGCTCTTTCCCCTTCCTACAGTAATAAATGCATTATGGTGCCTCACTTACTTTTTAGACCAAGTAATTCTCCCCACTCCATGAAACAAAGATCTATCTCACCACCATTTCATTCTTTTTAAACTGAGTGACATTTTAAATTGAAAAGTGAGCAAATTTCATTACAATATATCTCAGTCCCTGGTAAATTGGAGATTAGGGCTCTGGAGGATATTCAGAATCTCACACAATATTTCTCTGTCATTAAAAACCTATTTTACCAGGAATCCATAGTGTACCTCTGCATACACTCATAGGCTACAAGCATGCATACTTAACCTACTGTGTCTTTTCCAAGGTTTTTTTCCCCATTTTAACTGCATACGTATTTTAGATATCAAATATATTTTCTTTCTGCTCTGTAGGGCTCAGCTTCTTTTCTGTGTCTTCTATCCTTCTAGTTCTGTCAGTATAGCAAGCATATCAAAGATGTTAACTGCTATAGCATAATAATTGAAACAGATTTAATGATGTGATCATAAATAAACCAGGTACTTATCTAAGAACTCAGCTATTAGTGAGAAAGAACTAGTTTGGCTAATCTACTTTCCATACTACAATTCTTGGTAACTTTCTCATGATGAAAAGACTACCTGATGAAAAGACTTCCTTATACTTTAATTGCTCTCTCTCTTCATTTTTAAGCATTATTTTAGTAATTTTTTTGTAGTAATATAGTTGGATGACAAAAACTTGATTTATTTAATTATCTTAAATTACACATTTTAACAAAAGCTGTTTGTAAATTGTCATTTCAAGAATTATTGATATTGATTTGACTGGGTCAAAGCAATGGTTATCTTGTTTTATGTATTTAACTTCAAATTATCTTTAAACCCCAACATTATTGTGGTAAATTGAGAAAAAAATTAAGGCAAAACAAGCCGACGTTTTCATATTTTATTTTTTCAAAACTAGGGTTTAGAGTATTGAGGCTGCACATTTTTCTCTTTTGTATTTTTCAGTTTTTGGTGAAATTAGAATTGGGAATGCCAATAGTCTCTGAATTATTTTGTGAAGCAATCTGAAATACAGAAGAGTAAATGTATAGAACATTGTCATTTTCCATTTTTTTCTCCTCAGCTTTCTCATTAGAGAAAGCAGAGAGGAGTTTTGAAAGGAATATCCTTGTGCCTTTTGATGCAGCACAAATAATACAATAACACAAACTTGAGTTTCTGTTTATGTTTACAGTTAAGCTATCAGCTGAAAGTGGGAATCATGTACTGCAAGTCTGGACAAAGCACGGAAGAGGAAATGTACAATAATGAATCAGCAGGCCCAGCCTTTGAAGAGTTTCTTCAGCTGCTGGGAGAACGGGTTCGACTCAAAGGATTTGAAAAGTATCGTGCCCAGCTAGATACAAAGAGTAAGACTGCCTTTTTTACTCAGAATAATGCATACCTAATGAGTACATATTTCAGTAGTAGCAAATAGATATGATAGTAGAACATATATGGAGGAATTTGTGAGAATTGCGCCAGGAGGCCTCTATTCTCAGAGTATATTCAATACTGAATATACTCTATTCAGTATTGTCCTTATGGGAAGCAGCCCCATCAAAACCACTGTAATCTAATTTTTCTAAGGAATATATATTGATTCTTGGCCTATTGTTTGTCTCCTTCATGGCCATTTCTGGCCTTTTTGCTTTACTTTACTTTGTTCCTTAATACTATTGTATACATAAGATAAAGGCAGCTCTCCTTCCCCCCAAAGCCTATAGTATGTTTTTCTTTTTTCTTAATATCTGCATAGATTGCATCCTAAGGAGAATTGTTCAAAATTATGTCACTGCCTTAATTATAAGCATATTCTAGCTAAAACACGGTGAAAAAGGTGACTTTTTGACTAAGATCTTCAGACAGAATTCATGGAACCTAGAAAAAAGAAGGACATATTTAAATACACTAGACCCTTTTATTATGTGGCAGTCCTTTTATTCCTTAATGAGTATCATATTTGTGAGCTTTATGATGTTGAGATATGTAGTTGTCTCACATAGGAAACAGAGTGAAGAAAGCGTCATAAAAGTTTTTTTTTTAAGCATTTAAAACAATTAATTTAAAACAATGAATTTTTCAATGCAATGAATTTCCTGTTGCTATGACACTGCTTTTACTGAAGTTTTGACCACCACCAGCAGAGTCCTAAACTGTTAAAATATGGTAGCCCAGATGATTCCAGAAGCTGGTTTGCTATATTTAGGAACTCTAAAACATATCAGGAGTACAGAATTAAAATTACTATTTTTTAATTAAATGGCCCTCTTCCAATCTCTGGCATTTTACTTTCAGTTCAATTTACTTTGTGCTTGCTAAATTTGGGCTCTTATGCAGAAAGTATTTAGCAAGATGCAGAGTAAGAGAGAAAGAAAAACCATTTTTCTAGGTTTTTTGTTACATTTGATCTCTGCTAATATGTTGCTCCTCTTCATGAATTATTTACTTTGCATATATACTTCATTGATATAGACTTTACATTGAATAAAAGTTACATTGAATAAAAACCACTTTTTCCCCATGAATAGGCAAAAATTTACATTGGTAAAGTTACATATTGAACTGACCCTTACCAAATATTTTTTGGAAAGGTTACTGCTCATTCATTTTTAGACAGAGAACTTTAATTATGGACACTAATCAGTACTTCGTTTCTTTGGACAAAGAAACTATATATATGTGTAAACATACAAATATATACGTGTGTATGTGTGTGTATTTACTTTAAAATTGTATGTTGTTACTCTAAATTGACTGTTGGATGATTTTATAAAATAAATAAAACAAGTACTGAACTTTAATAGTATTTGTTCACTCAGACTCCCTTCGTATATCAGTAAAACCCCCATAAAGGTTTGATAACATTCAGTCGCAAAGAGAGGTAAAAATTCAGAATATCTCAAGAGGGGCCTATATTTTTCATGGAATTGTTTAACACCACACATCTGAAGAATATATAATGTGTCACTAATACTTTAGATATAAGCAAATATAAAACAAAAAGCTTCCTTTCTCTGTAAGTGCATATTTTATAATTCCATCAGAGACTTCTAGTACTTTAAAAATTAACAACTTTATTGTAGTATAAAATTTGATAAAATATAATTTTCCGACTAAAGTTTAGGCTATAGTAACTTTTGTTAGTCTATAAGAAGTTATAGTACTCTTCCCATTCATGCTGAGCCTTGAAAACACTTACCAGAAGTAGCATCATCCTGTATTCAGGCTTTATTTATTTATTTGGTTTTTGTCTTTTAAAAAGTTATAAATAATCCTCAAGTCATTGCAAATCATCAGCTAATTTGGAGCTTTAGAGCTGCACCTCTCCAGCTTCTTAATGTGTTCTTTAATTTTTCAAGACATAAGTGGTGCAGACTTGGGTTAAAGTGTCAGTGGATTATTGAAAGTCTTTCCATTTTTTAACAAGTAATATTTTTAGCTGATGAAACTGCTTTTGAAAAGATGGTGAAATTTTGTCAAATTTGGCAATTTTACCAATTTACCTCTAAGGACTGTAGTTATTTCAACTTATTTTAACTTGTTAACATTCCATGAGAGAAAGGTACTATGGCTGTTAATGTCAAAAGCAGACAAGTAATCTAAAAGCACAAGCAGGGATATTCTTCTCTGTCACACATACTCAACAGGCTGATGTCTAGTCAACCAATGCCATCTCCATGACATGCTGCAACTTGAAACCAGGTGGAAAAGGATCCAGAAAATCCATTTCATCCAGAAGTACTTGGAATTGCTCAGCCACCATTTGTTCCATGACCCCAGCCAAGAATGGCAAAATATGAAATTAATCTATAGTTGTTTTTTTAAAAATTATCCCATTATGGTCTCTTCAACGGGGAGCATACCCCACCACTTTCAAGAAAGGTGTCACTATGACTGGTTGTAGAGGTATTAATGATCTACAATACCTTCATCAATACACCCCTCCTAAACAGTACCATCCCAGAGGGAGCTGCACCTAAAAGGAGTCCTGTACTTGGCCAAATAGGCACTTGGGTCTATCTGAGCGGAGTACCCTTTTGGTTGTTTTAGTTATCCCATTCAGTTTTCCATTTTTATATATATTAAGCTATTTTTAATGATATATGGTTATTTCTTTTCTGTTAATGTTTATTTTTGTTGTATAGCTTTTATTCTTTTTGGTATCCTTCCATGCCTACTGTAGCTCTCCTGCTCAGTATTAGTATAAGCCAGAACCTTCATGACATGTTAGGACAATTTATTATTAAAAAGCAGAAAATAAGTATTTGGTCACCTACAAACAAGCAAGATGTCTGGCTCTCACAGACCTGTAACTACTT